AGGAAAGTTTATTTTGGCTCATGTTTTCAAAAGTTTCATCCGTAGTCATTTGGCCCTGTCACTCCGGACCTATAATGAGGCAGAATATCAAGGCAGGGACACTTGGTAAAGTTGATCAATTCCTGATGGCCAGGAAGCAAAGAGAAAAGGTCTGGGATGGCAGTGTCCCCTTCCAGGCACACCCCCAATGACCTTACTTCCTCCAGCCGTGCCTACTTCCTAAAAGTTCCACCACCACCGCCACCCCCCGTAGCATTATCACCTGGGGACCAAATTTTCAATCCATGGCTTTTGAGGGACATTTAAGATCAAAACCATAACAAGATCCAATTGGAATTAGACCTTCAAAGGCCCCTAGACCTTCTCTCTTACCCTCTGTGCAGAAACTCATGCTCTTGACCTGGCTCAATGTACAGCTGCTGCATTTGGCATCTCTCTGGTTCTCCAGAAGAAAAGAACAGGCTGTCTTTGAAGCAAGGTTTGAAAATACCAGGGGAGAGCTCAGACTGTGTAGTTTCAGAACAGCTGTCCATTCCTGTACTGACCAACCGTGATCAGTGGGGTGAGCCCCGCCCATTTGTTCAGCCTAGTCAATTGCATTTGGCCAATCTCTAGCAGCCAGCTGCCAATCAAATCACGGAACTGGAGTAAAGTATACATTCCCAAGGAGACAGATTCAGTTATTAAGAGGCATAATTGATCCTAGATATTACAATGACTGGGTCCCTCCAATAAACCAAGTACATAACAGGTACACAGTGTGTCCATGATATTAAAATTTCTTGGTGAGAAGGGCAGTTAAGAAAACAGAAAAAGGCTCTGGCTTAATCCATTCTCCGTTGCTATAACAAAACACCTGAGACCAAGAAATATAGAAGTAGAGAGATTTATTGAGTTCACAGTTCTGCAGACTGGGAAGCCCAAGATTATGGTGATAGCATGTGGGAAGGACCTTTTTGCTACATGATACGTGACATCACATGATGAAACAAAGCAAGTGTGCCAAAGAGAGTGCTTGCTCTTATAACAAACCCATCCTCAAACTGTCCCATCCACCCATGAATGGATTAATCCATGCCCTCATAACCCAGTCACCTCCCAAGATGCCTCCACTTGCCCCCTGCTTTACTCTTACCTTGCGGAGCTCAAATGTCCAATTACTCGATACTGCTGCATTAGGGAGCAAATTTCCAACATACTCAAAGCATTTCTTACAGGTGAGAATGAAAGAGAGGAAGGAAGGAAGGAAGGAAGGAAGGAAGGAAGGAAGGAAGGAAGGAAGGA